TCTGCCCGTGACGTATTTTATGCTTGCACAGTTATGTACATACGTACATACACACGAGGCAATTCCACGGCATTTAGAGGATTATGGTGTACAGTTAAAATATGTTTATGAATAGCGATACCTTATTGCGTGTGTATGTTTCCTGCCTCGAGAATAAGTTTTATGGCTAATTATTCTTCTGAGAATGGGGTTCGTTATTTGTATCACCTCGCTTGTAATTTAATTGGAAAGCTGTGGTCTCTGATGTTACTTTATAGTGCCACAAGTACAGCACAGCACAAATTCAAGAACATGCTGCGGTAGGTTTGTTTTGAAATTAACTAGAAATTATTTAATAGGTATGCAAAAAATATACTCAACGTTGGGACTTATTTTCATGACTGTTTCCTTTCATCAGCATAAAAGAATAAGAAGAATGTTTTCCCTAAAACATTTCCTAACGGTTCTGCATTCTTTCAAAAGTTGAACCTAAAACAAAGTTTTTCATTAGTTACCCAAGAATCATTAAAGATTGTAGATTTCAAATTTCCTATAGGGCTGTTTCCATATAGTAGTTCCCTACATTTTTTGGACGAAAAGTAACCATTGCGATGGAATAACAGAGATCTGAGGCGTTCCAACTACCAAAAACAGTTTTTAACACCGCAAAGAATCCATTCTAGACGTTTCTAATCAAAATAACGAGCGTTCAAATGAAAACGTGGTCAAGTTGGTTCTGAAAATTTGGACGTAGGGCGTAGCGTATAACAAATGAACTTAAACGTCATCTGTCAAAGCGCTATACCGCCGCTATTTTCGTTTTAAAAAGCGTTTAAAATGGTGTTTTCTCAAGAACAAAAAGTGTTTATCATAGAGTCCTACTTTAGAAATGGACGCATCTTAGAAAATGTCTTTAATTCTTTGAGGAACAGGTGTGAAAAGTGCTTGGAACAAGGAGGGGGACACTTTCAGCAGCTGCTTTAATTTATTGTTATAACAAGGAGGGGGACACTTTCCGCAGCTCCTTTAATTGTTTGTTATTGTTATCACGATTATTCTTTAAAATAAAGTTATATAGTCATTAACGTTATTGAAACTGACAGCTGCTATACAGCTCGTTGAGAAATGAGGTTAAGTTGGTCGCTATAAGCTACTCCCTACGTCCAATGTGTCA